AAATGTGAAGGATAACAAAATGTTTCAGGCGACGACGTCAAATGAGGCATTATTTTTCTCTTTTTCGCTGACCTTATCTCAAGTAAACAAATGAAGCGCATATACATCATGTCTGTCGACCACACTCCCGCATACCGCAGGCTATTTCCCCCCCAATTTGACGTCATTAAATGTTGTCAAATTGGACAGCCAGGTAGGCAATGACATTTTAAATGTTACCCAACATTTGTGACTTGTGAATGAGAGCTGGCTGAACCAGCCTTTTAACAAACCTAATTGGGAGCGGGTACTTTCCATATATTGCGGTCGATCGCCCCCACCCCCCCCAACACCACATAGATGTTAGTCCGATAAAGTTGGAGGTCTGAATGAATTTATCAAGGACTTGTGAAATCTCCAAACACTCAAGCGCCTACAGCCCGGGGCTGTTTATAATGTCACACGAGGTGTGATGGACAAGAGGCTCAAGTATGGTTTTGTCTGCCCCTTGACGGTTGCGTTGTAACCGCATTCTGTTGCCAGCGGTCGGTCCTCCTCCCAGGGTGTCGGCTAATTGAATGACTCTGAAGCTTCTTATTGTTTCTCGCCGAGCCATTGGTACGAGCTGACAAGAAATTAGGCGGTGATTGAATTACTGCTCCCAACGGCATCGTTTGGCTCGCAAGTAAAATGGTCTCAAATAAGACAAGGAGCATGATGGGAGGAACACTCATCGCGCAGGGTTAGCTCGGTTCATTTGATTTATTCCGTCCTGTGGCATTGTGTGATGCGATCCAAGATGGCGACACACCGCGAAAAGAAGCGCGACGTAGATCCGCTTTTCCACGCCAAGACCGCAAATTGAAATAAAAGAGGACCCGGATCGATTCATTTTTCAATGGCAACTTTGGCCGGAACCCGATTTGCTCCGAACGACGGTCGGCCATCCCCCGCGGTTCCTCTGGCGTATTTTACCACAGCGGGTTTGTGTTTCCGACTTTGATGAGCTTTTGCGGTTTTACCTTGCGTGTATCCTCTGTCCACAGTCAGGCTGGGGAAAGGCATCGGTCTTAAACTGAATTTGGTGTGGCTGAAGCTGCACGAAGGCGAAGGAAGTATACCGGGATACTGAGAGGAATCGAGGGATGGCACCGGAATGGCGCTGACCACCGCTGAAAAAAAAAAGAAAAGGACGGTGGTCGGTACAAATGGCAAAAGCTACTCCTGACGTCAAATCATGCAGTCCGTAAAGGTTCTGCGAGTGCGATGCTCATGAGACAGACGAGGCAATTTGACATCTGCGAAGGATCCTCACCAAGAAACGGAATGTCAAGAGAAAATACGACTTTTAAAACAGAAATGTTGACGTCTCAAAAAGGATCATGCCCAAAAAGCTTTTGCTTTCGTCACAGTAAAGGACAAACTGTGCCGAGATTCACCGGCCTCTACGTCCGATTCCACTAAACTCTGATCAATACGTGCATTGATTGGAAACGATTGATTATTTGAAAGCAGCAAGGCTGTGATCGTCGGCTTTAAAGAGATTAGGGCACATTTGTGTGCATGTTTGGAGTATTGCGTGGGTCGACTCGTGATCACTTGAAGCAAAGCAGAGTTTGATTACAGCAGCAAGATGACCGCAGATGTTATTGACTGAGATTATTGATCGGTTTGTGGCAGTAGGGCAGGTGCGGGTTAATGGAGATTTGTGCGTTTGAATGTGTGAGTGAAAGGCAGGGAGAGTCTGTACGAGTCAAGCGAGAGCCGCCTTCGACGCCGCCAACGCAAGCCTCGTCTCAAATATGGCAAGTATAAATATTGCTTACACACTTTAAACATGCTGGTACCCACATCACTCATCCAAGAAAATTCCTGCGGTGAAAGCACGCCTGCATTTCGTGACAGAGACTCTGCGAGCTTCGCTCCTTCATTCCCAGGTGCAGAAATACAGTTTGAAAAAATAACTCGAGTTAAGAGCACGAAATTATGCTTCATTAAGTTAGCTGAGCAATGGCGGCGGCGGCCATTTAAATCTCGCTAGTAAGTGACATCAATTTGATTGTGAAACGGCAAGTTTGATCGGCCGTGAACACCCGTGACTTTGCCACGCCCTTCACTGCCGATTCAAATTTACAACCGCAAACTAGTAGCTGGCGGTTGATTACTGATGAAAACGGCTTGAAAAACGGCACAACTTTCAGTCCGGTTTTTTTTTACCTCATCGCTCGCTGTGCTGCAGGCCAAAGAACCTGAGCGGAAACAACAAACTGGTCCAAGTCGGCCTCATCGAGAAGTAGACCGCAAGCAAGCCGACTCAACGGAGACTCGGCAGGTTCCAGCCAAGTTAAGTTATTTTGCCTCCATTAAGTTCCACGTTGACGGGAGTAGTACGGATCACGGGGTCATCCATTGTGATGCCCATCGCTTAAGTATGAAGATCATGTTTGTGATCAATCGTCTGTCCCAATACTACCTGTCGTGTGTAATCATCGCAACAGGCTTTAAGTGACAAACTGCTTCCAAGCCTTAAAATGAAACCAAGCCACACGCTCATGACTCCCACTTATCAAATTGATAAGGAAAGAGAGCAAAGTCTTCGGACAGAAGTTTCGTTTTGAGAAAAAAAGATGGCAGTGGAATGACAGAATGAATAAGAGGAGGAGTAGAGGATGAGGACGGGTCTGCGTGCGGGAAGCCCGAAGCCTTTCCTGTGTCTGGGTGACCCACATATCACAGGCGCACTTATTCGAAGAGTCAGCGTGGCATGTCACGTTGCAAAAACAAACCGAGTCACCCACTGAGTCACACGTTCCAAAAATAAGAGCATGTGGCTCGAACCTGATTGCTGATCCAACCTGATTGCATTTCTTAAAACAGCAGTGAGCCAAACAAGACCAGACTTGCAGCGGCATCGAATTGAAGACGCGCCCGTCTGCGTTCTCGTGCTTATCGGCATCTGTGCGACCGAAGTACAGTGCGAGTTCAATCGATGCGCTTCCTAATGTACACGCGCACAAAAACTGCGTGTTGACACGTAACGAGTCTTTTGCCGGAGATCGACCAAAGGAGATCATTGAAAGCCCACGGCAGAGGTTTGTTGCCAATCATCTCCGGCCGCAGTCCTCCTGTCAAAAAAATATGAAATGAGAAAATCACCGAGGACTCAGAGCCTCAATCACTAAACTAAAATGGATTTCTTGTCCCCCTAAACGAGTGGCAGAGGCGCACCCAAAGATGCCCTTTCCCGAGTGCCAATGTTGATTTCTGTTGGTTCTCCGGATGAAGATGAGACTGATGGTCTGAGCTACCTTGCCAGGCGCCAAGTCAGAACAAATAACCGAAGAAAGCATTGATGATGCGCAACTGCGGGCAGTGATTCAGAATATGCATCCTGAGTGGCCCCGAGGCTCATGTCATCGGTATTATCGTGAGCGGTTGCGGCTGCAGCATCTCTCACGCAGAGTCACTTTCGACGGCCAAGAAGGATCCTCGCAAAGGCAAAACATTTCATGCCACGATTGAATTTCAGAGTGCTGGTCGACTTCATATTTGGGCTTCTAAGTATGAATGAAGCGGTGTGTTCAACGGTGATGACGCAAATTCCGATTACATGATGTGAATTGTGGTATGAGATGACGATGATGATGATGATGATTTCGCCTGGTTTGACATGTAAGGGCTTGCTTGCTATTTTTGGTTCAGGGTAATTGATTACATGATGTGAATTGTGATATTAGACGACGATGATGATGATGATGATTTTGCCCGGCCTTAACATGTTATTTGTCTTTGGTAAGAAAAAAAGCTTGCTTGCTATTTTTGGTTCAGGGTAATTTGTGCCCATGTGTTACGTCATATTAAGAGTTTAGATCTTCGCTGATCCAACGATGCGCCTTAACATGTTATTTGTCTTTGGTAAGAAAAAAAAAAAAAAAGAGCTTAAAGCCAAGTTTGCAAGAGATTCCATACGTGTGTTGCTTGGTTGGGAATCCATCGGAATCATCATTTTGCCTCGTGTTCCCCTCCTGGCAGCCAAGGATCTTTCCAGAGTAGAAATACAGCTTGACGCTTCATCGCCGTCTGCTCCTGTAATGTGAAAAAAGCCCGCTAGATATTATTTTCCCAAACTAATTTTTCCATTTCCATAAGAGAAAAGCTGAAGTTGTTTTCTGCCTTTTAACAGCATCGGCTATGATTAGGAGAAGCGCAAAATATCACGTCATGGACCTGAGTGGCTACTCTTGCTGCCCATCTGGCTCTCCGATTGGCTGTGGGCAACCTGGGGAAGGTCCTGGCAAGACTGGATGGGAGAATCGTGCCCAGACGGGGACACGCTGGGCGCTTTCTCAATGTTCTTCATCTCCATCTCCTCGTGATGGATCCAGAGGTCGGGAGGTCGTAGATCCTTCTGGCTGCCCTTCCTCTTACTGGCGCTGTGGCTTGCTCTTTTCCTGGAAAAAAAAAAAAACGATCAAACTGTACACTTGAAAGACATTTTCCCTTAATGGGTCACACAACCTGGAACAGGAACAAAATCAGAATAAAAAGGAAAAGATTTGTAAAAAAATAAATAAAAGAAACTTAAGGTTAGAAGTAAAAGCCCGGTTTCGTCTGCCGAAGAAAAAGGGGAAAATAGCGGCGGCATTGACGCGAGTGAGGACTAATCATTTGCCATCTGCCGTTTGACATTCACAGATGCTCGCCGACGTCTCCAAGATGCAATCAACGTCTTACTTGCGCTGTTGGGCGGAGGAGCGTCGCGTGCATATGAGGGCCACGACCACCACCACCACCACCGTAACGGCTCCCACCGAAACCACGATGATGACCAAAAGATTGCCGTTATTTTGCGGGGTGGCGCTGCCGTGCGGCGGATGCATTTGACCGACGGGGGAGTCTGAAAAAGAAGAAGTCGAGATTGATAGAACACCATGAACAATTCATGTTGTCGTATTGCTCTTGTCACTTTTACAAAAGCAAAAATCGACCTGAGTACAAAGTAGATGCCTTGTGGTGGAAATGTGCTTTCTCGGCAACATTTATATCCATATATATTATGCACAGTCATTAATTTAGTTGACCTTTGAGCAAATAATAAAGAAACTGCGAGATGAAAAGCACGCAGGGATTTTAGAGAGTGAGATCAAGAGAGTGTTCAGCAGAAAGAAAGCATGAACGGGGTCAAAAACTGAAACTGGAGTGAAAAGATGAAATGCCAAACAAGAAAAACGGGAGTCCCTTCTCATGCAAGAGACATGAGAAGGGACTGAGAAAAGACAGAGAAATGATTGTGACGGAGAAAAAAAAAAAAAAAAAGGCACTTTGGAGCTCTTTCACGGCTTCCCCGAAGCCTCCATCTTTCAAAAGTCACTTGTCTCTCTCGATGAAAACCACAATCCGTCACACGGTCCAACCAAAGCAAATGGCAACTTTCAGGTCCCGAAGAGAAGATTTCATCACCTTCTAGTCTTTCTACCTTTTCATTTCATTCCAACACAATGTAGGAGATAGATATGGAGAAGAGATACAAGGGTTTTCGATGTGGACTACTTTCTGTTCCCAACGCGACCGGAATCCCCAAACTTAGTAGACTAGACTTGCCCCAAAATAGGCCCCATCGTATACGCTCCTATCAATGATGCGAAAACCTCAAACATTTTGAGGAATATACATTTGTATATTCTACCTATTAAGAGACTCAGTTTACTCCAAGATTCTTTCGGTGTTCTTCGGGCAAAATGTAAGGGTATTCGTTATTCGGGTTGCAGATGGTGCGTTGAATGAAAAGAAGAAATTTATCCTTTTAAAATGCGTAGTCTCGGCAGTAAAGACCTTCCCAGATATGGTGTGAAAAAAAAAATCGGCAGACAGTGGATCCAGTTTGGGTCACGCTGTCCTTCGGCAGCAAACGGTTGCTGCCATGGGGCCTTTCCGACGAGCTCATATTAGAAGCCAACAGGTCCCCTCACAGTGACTGTCACATTGCTTTGACCCGATGGAAACAGTCAGAGATAAACGTCCCAGCTGGTTGTTTCTCAGCGAGAGGAAGCCACAAGCAATATGAAGACAAAGACGTGTTCCAGATGAAATATGGTCAACCTGAGGAACGAGCCTTTGCCCTCGGGGACGTGGCATCCCCACAGGCGTGGGAGGGCTCGGGTCAGAGAGGATGGATCTATCATCGCCTCTGGCAGGAACACCACCAACGATGCACACAAAACATTTGTCTCCACACACCCGCACATGTACACGCACACACACACACACAGCAGATCTTTCTCCAAAAACCTGCAGGGATCCTCTTAAAATAACAGCAGCTACAGACAGTGACCCCTGACCTCCATCGACTGGCTTGTTTTCAAGCCAGACCATAAAAACACAGGGCTCAAAAATCACTTTTTTTTTGTCTTCGAGAAGCAGTTTTGCTATTCAGTGACTTCATTTGAGGAGCAACTTTCTAATTCTGAGGGGCAATTTTATTGCCCGTTAATTTCAGGACCCGAAGCGAGGATTTTATGAAACAATCAAAATACGACAATAGAAAGGGGGAGCCGAATGGAGAGCTGCGGCTAAGAAATATTTGTGTTTTTGTTCTTCATGTATTCTTTAAATGTCTTTGTATTGATGTCTGATTTTTACCTTGTGTGCAGCACTTTGTCTGCAGCTGCGGTTGTTTTTGAAGTGCTCTATAAATAAAGTTCAGGTGAGTTTGAATTTTTTTTTTAAAAAAAATCCAGCGAGTAGTGATTCGCTTGTAAAAAAAACAGCCGCTGTCAGGCTGACAAAAATATACAGTCCGTTTAGGATGGTATCATCATAATGTGTGAATAGGTGCAGTCCCAAGAAAATGGGAAAATAAGAACTATTGTCGTAATTCTAATTAAAAAGGACTATCCTAAAATGGTACATGGAGAGATCAAATACCAGATTGGATATTATACTGTGATTTATAGTACAGCACGTGATGCTGCTAGTTCATTACGGTGATGAATTGTTGCTTCTGCAGTTCAGCATATTTCCTCCAAGGAAATTTGCAATGAGAACATAAAAATTCAAAACGTAAATGCAGACAGTTCAAGCTGATTAATGAGATGTGATATTGGTTTTCTTTTTTTTTTTTTTTTTAAACCCACCGGACTACCACAGCAAATAGAAAATTATGCAAACAGATTGTAAATTGCTGCGTTCTTGCTGGTCTTGCTAATAATAACGTGGTCCGCTAAAGTAACGGGTCCAATTCGGAAAGATTTTTCTAAACAGAGTCCAGTTCAGTCATGTTCCTTGTGTTGATATTTTACCATTTATGCTGCTCCTGTCAATGAGGTTGCTATCAGATGGCCAGTAGGCGTGGTCTCCTCCTCGACCTGGAAAACAAAACACGAGAATTTCAAATGCATTGAATGTGTAGACAGTCAGGTTTAGCCTGACGTATCGTTCCCAATTTCATGAAAGGAATCAAATGTTTCCTAATCTGTACAATCTGCTAATTCCACATAACGTCACAGAACATTCCGCATGAGTACACACGCCATTGTCTGTTGTGTGTGTGAAGTGACTCTAGTGGGAATCTGAAAGAAGCTCCCTCATTAGCGGCCTAAGCCAATTTGCTTTTAGTTTACCGGGACTGATGACGAGAACCCGGGAGCAGAGCGTCTATAAAGATTGAGCTCATTTCAGCTCTCTTCAATCGTCTCCCATATGTTGGCATAAATAATGACAAAAAGTTCTCCGTCGACGCCCTTTTATTCCTCCGCGTTTGATGAGAAAAGCATTTTTCCGCGCAGGTTCCTCCTTCAACTTTCTGCGTACGCTATTTATGTTGCTTTCATTCCCTCAAAGGACTCATTTTCTTAGCTTATCTCCTCTTTGCGCCTTATTAGTTTTCTTGACAATTTTTCCCGGAGTCGTAATCCTTCGGAAGTCATTTTCCAAATCGACCTACCTTGATCATTGGCCATCTTGTCTGGATGCTCCACTGAAAAATCAACAAAGAGTGTTATCACAAAATAATTCCATAAAAAGACAGGAGCGCATTCAGACTGTAGATAAAGGTTTGCACTTGCACACGTGCCACATATTTTCCTACGCTTTTGTTGTCCACTGTGTAATTTGGGGGCTTGTTTCGTTTCTTGAATATGAACCCTTTTTTTTATTCCGACATACCTTTGGCTGTCCTAAAGTGAACGGGTTCGGACAACGGACCCACTCCTTTGGCGTTCTTAGCTTGGATCCGGAAGTAATACACGGTGTCAAGGTTGAGATCAACCACCTGATGAGTCAGTCGGTCGCCGCTAATCGTTTCCATGACCCAGTCGTCTATTGGCATGTTTTTGTCCAAGGTGTAATAGAGGATATAACCTGCAATGGGGGAATAAGAAAGACCATGCGGTTAGCAAACCGCAGCATGTGGTGCACGCGCTAGATCAGTGGTGTTCAAACTACAGCCCCGGGGGTAATTTTAGAGGCAAAAAATTGTTTCTTCCAGTCTGTGCTCGATGGCTGATTTATGAAGACATCACTTAAAAATGGTCACTTGACTACAGTTTGTTCTTTTTTTGGGTTCTGCATGTGGAGATCCGGCTGCTGTTTAGTGTCGAGCTGGATCAATCAGGGCTCTTGGCCACACCCAAAACCTGGAAAACTCCTCAATTATTTGCATGAACACCTTAAACAGAAAGCGAATGAAAGAAAAAAAAAAACAAGACAACAAAAACAACATTGAATTGCTTTCTTGACTGACGTTAGGGGGTTTTAAAAAGTTGAAGAATTTTCAAGTGGCCCCTTTGTCCTTCCGTTTTTCTGTAGGTGGCCCTCAAACGCAAAAGTTTGGACACCACTGCGTGAGAGTGTGATAATTTGTCAACCATTTAGTATACATCATTGAAAATGATACTCAAAATAGACATTCCAGTGAGATGTACAGTATTCTTGAAAGGATTTAAATTGCATACACAGTATACAATTTGTGGCATAATGCATAAAAAAAATGGATAAACAAGGAAATCTACCTGTGGTGTGTAAATGGTCATAATAATGTTCTCTGACACTGCTGCAATTTCCAGGGACAGCGTTTATACTTTCAATGGAATATTGCAGCAGGGCTCGTTAAAACAGACGCGATTGTCCGGAGGAAACGTGTGCGGGTGTGCACGTGTATGCACATGACACACAAAGAGCCAACTGAGCACTTTGCACACTCTAATGGTGTTGGATTTTATGGGTTTGGCATATCTTCCCATTCAGCGGGCCTCATCCAAAATCCTAATCACCCCCTCCTGGTAGACACACTAACTATTTGTAATGTCATCTTGAACGCTCACCTGTGATCCGCCCGTTTGCCTCCATCGGCGGTTGCCAGCTGATTAAAATGGCCCGGGGCCGTCCCTCCCGACTGATCACTGTCAAGTCTTTGGGAGCAGAGCTCGGAGCTGTCGACAAAAGCATGAACCAATTAGGAAATCAAGCAAGAATAAAGCATGTTTCACGATCATCATTTCCGCGCTTCAGTTGAAATTGGATTTGAACGCGCCGACTCAGATTGACGGGATATTTTACAATCGAGGGACATCCGCGTGATCATATCAACGATTGTATTTTTTTTACATGAAATGAAAACGGGCCTGGCTTGAAAAAACAAAGGGCATATCGCTCTGGCCTAAGTCGAGGAGCAAGCAGGCAATCAGCCTAACTAAATATGCAACAAGTATTTTGTTGAGACATGCCAATAAATAATTGAAAACAGAATGCGCAGCACTCACGACTGAAAGTGCGCAGCACAAGTCATAAAATTGTGTCTCTCTTCATCGTAGAATACCGTGTTGTCAGAAGTCATGAAAAATGAATCGTGCAAATGGTCAAAACATGCTCATTAGGCTTTTTGCATATGCTAGCCAGCAGACTCACAAAGATGGCACCGCGCGGAAATGAGGTTAATAACCCGATCACACTGCACTGAACACGAGTTACATTAGCGTGTCAGCAGTTACGCAGCATGAAGGTGGCAGACCAAGGCGCGTGTTAACGCTTGCATACTGTCTCTGCATATTCATATTTTATGAAATGGAATGAGGGTCAAATGAAATTTCATCTTAAAAATGGATAGTCAAGCATGTCCTCTGCTCGGGCAATGTTCACACAAAAAAAAAAAAAAAAAAAAAAAAAAAATGTTTCCTTTCTCCCCCCCCAGTGTTAAAAG